ATATTATATTTGTTTAATTATACATTTATATAATATATTATTTATAAAGAAGCGTAGAGAAGCATGTTAAACGCCGCGTAAGCGAGAAATTAAATAAACAATATTAATAACAAATTCGATCGTAGAACTCTGTGACGAACAGCGATGCGAGAAGCCGTTGAGGTCGAATTCCGTGCCGCGCATCACCGAGCGTAAGTGCACGGCTTGCCAGGGCGGCGAAATAAAAGCGGAACTCGAGCGGCGAAGAAAGGATCCGAGACTGATAAGGTCCGCGGTGGGTTTCGCGCTCGGTCTCGAGGAAAAACGCGGGCCGACAACGGGCAACGATGTCACGCGCAGAAACGGATTACCGCCGATGAAGATGACGGTGCCGCGGCCGAGGACTCCCTTCGCGAGGCGCACCTTCTGCATCGACACTCTGGCACCGCCGTTCAGCGTGAATGGCTGCCGGGATGCCGACTACCCCGAACACTGGCGCCTCATGTCCGTGTACCAGCAGTCGTACAGGAACCCACAAAAACGAAGGGCTCGCCGCTTCTAATCAGATTGAGGATGAGCCTAATAAGAGAGGTGATATGAGGTCCGTATTATGGTCGAATTAGCTAAATTAAATATAGTTTTATGCAGTAAATCTCTTTCGAGATCCGCTGTCCGTTAAAGAACTAATTCCGAATATTATTGATTATTGATCCGTTATAATAGTAAGAGAATTTTATAATATTTCGTTGAAGTTTTTATTGTTAAATAAATGATTAATCTTTAAAAGGAAACATAGGAAAAAAATCTTCCTCCGATTTCGATGCGCTTTTAATATGTTGTAATTCAAACCGTAATCCTTAATATGTTTATATTTTAATATTTTGATATATATTTTTAAGGAGTGAAACACACCCAATCGATTAGTTTTTTTCATCGAAAGAAAAGTGAAATATAAAACAAGTCTTTAAATTAAATAATTTTAAAAATATAATAATGGTATAAAAAAATATTAATTAATTTTTCGTCTATAAAAAAATTTTTTAGATATTTTTATTATTATTATAAAGTATTCTTAACATATTTAACTTTTGTTTATAAAAAAATTGTTTTTCATCTTTTCTAGTTTTTACGAAAGAGGTGTGTATGGACACGTATAAAAAGATATTCCTTATTTTATCTAGATTTATAACACTAAAAGCTTATCAAAATTGGAAAAAAAATCATTTTACTGTGTTTCCTTGTTTTCCGTAGCTCAATAAAATGTTGCCGTTATATAATAATTCATAGTATAATAAAATATGAATAAAATTATTGACAAGTTATAAAAAAAATGAACACAGAGTTAAGATAATAATAAAGAAAACTAAAATAAATGAAGAATAAAACAGAAAGTAAAAATATATCTCGTACATTTCCGCAACATTCGCCTTAGTCCTTCTTCTTGATTTTTATACTGCTGATATTGACGTTCCCGGTCATCGTCATCGGCGAGTCCGACTCGCGGACCTTCTCGAGTAACGGCGTCTGCTCCAGACGCGCGAGCATGACGTTTTGCAAATGCGCCAAGAGATTGGGATACGACATCAGGGCATTTTGAAAGTCGGCACGCGACAATATGTGGACCTCGCAATTTTCCGCGGCGATAACGCTCGCAATCCAACGCTCGTCTTCCATCAGCAGAGCCAATTCGCCGAAGTACGCCCCATCTTCCAAATGACAGATCTGCGAAAATACAGAAATGATTCAACTGATCCCCAAGTAACATAACATTAATATAGGTTGACTTTCTTATTATTTATTGTCATTGTTTGTTTATAAGTCCTCTTATCACTTTGTAACGTTTCAATTTAAAACGACACGTCAAGATGAACTGACACGATATTAATCGAGGAACGATTTTTGTTAATTTATATCGCATAGAAATTGTGAATCAATGTTTGCGTAACTTCGATGTTTTCCCGTTGAGATGAATCACACGATTATTACTGTTTTTAAATATTGAACTAACAGTAAAATTGTAATAATTTATATAGCGTATAAACTACTGCATTTCTGCCAATCTGCGAGTGACTTACTCTCAACTTAGTATTACAGTTTCGCTGGAGATGACTCCAAAGTGAGCCGAAACGTTCGATATAATAAATGAAGACTACCGTCAACACTTGAATATTATCTACATCTCCTAACTCTTCGCTCGCATATCAGCGTTAGACTCTCATTAGCCTTGTTCTAAATTTCTAGTTGTTCATAACATTAATGTTATAATTTTAACAATGTAATTATCACACTAAAAAGAATTATTTATTTGACTAAATTAATTTAGTTGCCTTTATTTCTTTTGTTGGAGAATGTAGAATATTTAAGTCTAATATAAC